GGATCATGGTCAAGATCCCCAACGAGTTGCCAGCACGTTGTAGCTTGTTGCGTCATTCGGCTGGAAAACCAGGCGGTGCATATCTCGCGCTGATTCAACCTGTCGGAAAATGGTGGCAACGTAAGGCAATCCTGGTTTCCTAGGAATCGCGCAATCGCGAACGAAAACGACGATAGTATTCCTCGCAGACGATGTCGAAGCAGCTGTTAGATAAAGCTTACCTATAATGTGGTAAAAGTGACGCGTGTTTTAACGGTTTACCATTCAAAAAGTGACTGACAATGCTGTGCAGAAAAGTGACCAGTTTGTCGTGCAGATGCATGTTATCGAAGAGACTTTTACTGCGGAAGAATAATCTCGTGTGAGCGAATCAGCATCGTTTTCGTTTAGGTTTAGGCGAACGAATCGCTTCTCCCACCTGCTGTAAGACGACGCTTTCGCGGACGTGTGATGTGTCGCGTGCTTTAACGAGCTGACTCACAGTCGTAGCTTCTTGCAGATTATTGTCCCATCGAGTGCCTTTTGCAAATTTCAATGAACGGAAATTTTGGTCAATGACATTCCCACCTTGTTTGCCGCTTCGTTTATGCCGTTTCACATCACTCGTAAGTGTAAATTTGCGCAAATGTTGTCGTAAAGGAACATTTTCGAGACGACGATGCAGTCGTTGCTTTGCTTGGGAGTTTTTCGAGGTTAGTTTTGTAAATTGTTTTCGATTTTATTTGCTTTTCGAACCGAGCTTCCACGATGTCTGCAAAAGTCTAACGTAATTAATGATAAAGAAATAATTAATAATGATATAGAAATATAGAATACGCTGTAAACTGTAACAATAATTTGCACCGCTAATAATAGCAACGAAAGAACAACAAAGCGAACTTTGAATTAGTGTGTCAAGACAATACGCGCAGGAAGTCGTTATTTATAAATTCCGTCCTCCGTTTCCGTGACGAGGCCAGTTATATTTTTCTCTGGAATTCCATCTTGTCGCGATCATCGGAGTCGCGAATCGAGTCCACCGGTTATCCGCGTGTTTTCATAACTGATTCCCAAATATTTGATCGAGATAATGCTCGTTGGCGGAACACGATCGCGTTCGAGGTATAAAAATTCGTTTTCCAATACGCACAAACTTGGTCGCGTGATTCCTTTAAATTGTCCAAAATCCTCCGTCTATATCATCCGCGGTCTAGCACAATTCTGACCTTCGGAAGCAGGAAGGACGCTCGTATCGAATCACTTCTGTCAAAGATTAAAAATAGCCAGGTGTGTTTATCAAGCTTGTTATCGAACGGAATGAATTTCGAGAAGTCGATAGGAAATTTTTCGCAGAAGGTAATCGAACGGCCAGATTGCAAGTTTTTGTAACGCGAGCCACGATCTGGAGGGTCTATGGCCCCGTGCTGAATCACAGTGTTCGTTGACCCCTGACATTTTTATATCCTACCTAACCATCGTTCTGTAACTCAAGCACCCACGTGATGTTGAACCCAAAGATATATGTATTGGGTTGGGGAATAAGTTCGTAGCGTTTTTCATATTTTCTTTTATTTTACAACGATTTTTTGCTGTTTGACAAAGTGTATAATATTCATTCGATAGAGCTCTTTCTGCTCTACAAAACTGTGCTAATCGTCTTTTTGGGTAATTTAATTTTTTATTACTTTTGAGGCTTAGAAATGGAATATCCAGGAGGTAAAAAGTAACGTTTTCGACAGCTTCTCTTCTTCGCTTTTCATCGAGGCCAAAAAGCTGCCGAAGCAGTTCGGGACATTTGCAACGTATACGGAAAAGGTGTCATAGGCGAGTCTACGGCACGGAAATGGTTTGCGAAGTTCAAAAGTGGCGATTTTGACGTCGACGACACGCTCCGCAGCGGAAGACCTTCCGAATTCGACGAAGAGCGTCTCAAAGCACTTTTGAAGGACGGTCACCAAACAAGTCGTGAATTGGCCGAAAAAATGAACTGCGATCATAAAACGAATCTCAATCATCTTCATTCAATGGGATTTGCCGAAAAATTGGGAGCCTGGGTTAAATTCGAATTTCGAAGGTCTTCCGCTGTCGTCGACGTCAAAATCGCCATTTTTGAACTTCGCAAACTATGACTACAAACTATGACATTTTCCCCGAATACGTTGCAAATGTCTCANACTCGCCTATGACACCTTCTCCGTATACGTTGCAAATGTCCCGGACTGCTTCAGCAGCTTTTTGGCCTCGATGAAAAGCGAGGAAGAGAAGGTGTCGAAAATGTTGCTTTTTACCTCCTTCTAAGCCTCAAAAGTAATAAAAAATTAAATTACTTAAAAAGACGATTAGCACAGTTTTGTGCTAATATCTCTATCGAATGAATATTATACACTTTGTCAAACAGCAAAAAGTCGTTGTAAAATAAAAGAAAATATAAAAACGCTACGAACTTATTCCTCAACCCAATATTTTCCTTTTGAACCCGTGTGTCGTACGTCAACAATCGGAAAACCGGTTACCAACGGTTCGACGCCCCTAAAACCTTTTCCACGTTTTCGTAGCATTGGAATTTTCGTTCTTCTGACCCTCGTTGCCTAAAACGAGGATAGACTGCTGCAGCTAAAATGAAAATAACTGAGCACCTAAAATGTTCCATGATATTGTACAACGTACTGACCAAACTAAATGTTACTAGAATTTTTAGAATGCAAAAGAATTCAATATTTTTAATATTTTAATATTTAAATTTTCTACTTTCGCTTTCATTAATTTAATGACGTTGATATCGTCGGAATTTTTGGGCTCGATATCCAGCAATTAACCTGTTGCAGTATCTCGAAAGTGAAAACATGCGATTTGCGGTCTTCTTCCATGTGATCACAGGTACATAATTATATCTTATGCTTGCCGTGTAAAAATAGAAATCCGAAGATCTATTTATGAAGATTTCAAGCTCGCCGAACGCCATATAAAACATTTATTAGCGAAACGACGAACGGGGTTTAAACAAGCCACGTGGCTCGAACGTTCGATACGTTTCAAGTTCCGACAATTTTTCTATCTCGGAGTCTGAAAGTTTCTTCATAGACCTTAATTATAATCCTTGGATCCTCGAACCTCAAAGATCGTTCGTTGAACGAGCGTGGAAAGCGATTTATGTTAGATGGACTTTCCCATCGGCCGGTTCAAAATTAGCTTGATGTACAACTGCAATAAAACATCCCCTGTAGCATTCCGCGGGTCCCCTGTAGTATTTTTAGTCCCCTCGGAGCGAGTCGGTGTCCTGTCGGCAGTTTTATTGGCAGGCGGAAGGGATCCAGAAGAAAGCGTTGCCTCGGATCGATGGCGCGTGCACGCAAAAAGGGAACGATTGCGTCAGCCGACGCGTGCGCCGTTCCAGTTTCGCCGGGAATAATGTTTTCGCGGCCGTTCGAAACCGTCCCAGCAATTAAAACCGATCGGAACACCGGCGTGTCAGAGGTGCGCCCGGTTCCGTCGTAACAATTCGTGGAACGTTGGAGGACACGGCCGAACGCGTCTTTCGTTTACGATGCACCACCGCTGGCCACCCGTTTCGTCAGCGCTCCGGCTCCGACCCCATAGCGAAGTATAAAAAGAGGGGACAAGGTCATGCCAGCGGACAGAAGTTTCCGAGCTGTCAAAGGAGTCGGACGTGCGTGAACGTTGCTATACCGAACTTCACTCTCTATCAACAGTGATCAATTTCTTTTTTTTTTTTATTGAATCGACGAAGGCGCATTAGGTTGGTGAAAGTATTGTGTTTTGTGTGTATCGAGCCATGCTAAGAGTGTTACGTGCTTGTTGTTATAAGTGGTGAATCTGGGTTACGTGGAGGCCGGTATGCCCAGTTATGGGATGCGTCGGTTGTATGGTTTAATAGCCTCTTTCTCTTTTTTCGCGGTTCGTTTAATTGACGCGTTGCCATGTCGAGCTTCTTCTATAGGCAGTGTGTTGTTTGTTTGTTTGCGGTTCGATAGCGCGACGGTCGAAAAACGTTGTTTACAAAGTTGCGATCGAGTTGAACTTCGTTTTTAAAACTGCTCCACGTAACCTTCGACGCACGAGCATCACAGCGTGCACCTGTCTGAAGTACACGTGCTTGGACAGGTAGTGGCATCTCGCGAGCCATTTTTATCGGGGATTCATTCATGCGAGCAGGATATGTGTCGCGAACTTTTTGTTTGCTTTCGTTGGGTCTATTTAGAGCGACGGATTTTCACAGGCAGTGCATTTTAAATAGAAAACTGTTTTATTTTGTAAGACATCATCTTTCTTTTTTTTGTTACGTCTATTATGAGTTTCAAAATAGAAAATAGCGCGAAATTTATTTCGGCTACGAGGACGTTTCACTGACAAGGAGTAGCTAAAATTACGAAAATGCAAGATTTTTGAGAACATCGTTGCGTTATTGCCTCGATTACTTTTCGCTGTCCATTGTGATTACGCAAACTACGATAATCTCAGCCACGATCCATCAAATTATTTAGATTAACGTGTAATTTGACAAGTTCTTTTGACATTATTATTTAAAAGACTTCCCTTAGACGCATTGAAATGCACTAAATAAAGTGTCAATGATTTTTCTGTATAATTATATACATAGTTTATAGAAGACTACTAAAGTTTGTCATCATTTTTCTGCGTCTGCCAATGTTTTTCAAAATGAGAAGACGCTTCAAGTCTATTCTAATATTTACAGACCGGATGTTTGAGGTTATCTACCATTCTTTATCTTCAACAATTCGCTGGCAATGAGTAGTTAAACTTGCAAAATAGACAAAGTGATATCTTGTTGTTTAACCTTAATGATAACATCATCGACATTTTTCCGCGAAGCTAACAATTTCACTACTAAAATAATACTACCGTTGAAATTGTACTCCCCCCGTCCCTGCCGAAATTTAACCTTTCATCAAGCTGCAAGATCCACAGTAACAAACTTGTGATCTTAAAAAATTCGAGATTTCGTGGCGCCCTATAATCCAACGAAAACAATTTCTTTCCAGAATAATGACAAGTATAAAGGACCAGCTGCTGAGCACAGTGACGGAACCGGTGCCCATTGGCAGGAACAAGGTTACAATAGTCGGCGTGGGTCAGGTCGGCATGGCCTGTGCCTTCAGCATCCTGACGAACGTAAGACAGACACCCATTTCGACCATTCTACGGGGTGTCCCAAAAATGTCTCGCAATCCGGAAATGGCGGATTCCTCGGATCATTTGAAGCAGCTCCTTCCTTTACAAAATTTTTCTGCGAGGCACTATTAACGAAAAACAGTGATATAATAATAACCAATAAGAATCGAGTACGGCTGACGTGAGGCGGCCCAGCCAACCAGCGCACGAAGCCCAGTTCCGCTCATTGGCTCGGTCGCCTCGGACTGCCTCGACCGCTGGCTCGGCCGCCTCGCGCCAGCAGAGTTGGGATTCGACCGCTTGACCGCTGGCGCCGTTGGCTCGGCCACCTCGCGGCAGCTGATCTCGCCTCTCATTGGTCACTGTTTTTCGTTAATAACTCGTTGACGGTGCTTAGGAGAAAATTTTTGTAAAGGAAGAAGTTGCTTCAAATGACCTGAGGAACCCGTCACTTTCGGATTGCGAGACATTTTTGGGACACCCTGTATAAATACAGTCGACCGTCGTGAACTAAAACCTTCCTCTGATTACAGCACGTTTCCAGCGACGTCGTTCTGATCGACGTGATGGCGGACAAGCTGAAAGGAGAGATGTTGGACCTCCAACACGGCAGCACGTTCTTGAAGAACGCGAAGGTGAACGCGAGCACTGACTACGCCGCCACTCGGGATTCCAGTCTCTGCATCGTCACTGCCGGTGCTCGGCAAAGGGAAGGCGAGACCAGGCTAGATCTGGTTCAGCGGAACACGGACATCTTCAAGGGCATCATCCCACAGCTGGTCAAATATAGCCCGAACACTATCTTGCTGATCGTCTCGAATCCCGTTGACATATTGACTTATGTGGCCTGGAAGCTTTCCGGTTTGCCGAAGAACCGCGTGATCGGAAGTGGTACTAATCTTGATTCCGCTCGCTTCCGGTTCCTGCTGTCGCAAAAGTTGAACGTTGCGCCAACTTCTTGCCACGGCTGGATCATCGGCGAACACGGCGACACTAGTGGTAGGTTGAAGCGAATTCATAAGTTCGCTGACTTCATGATTTCGTTGTTATGATTCTTAGTTTGTTTGGCTCTGACATAGTGTTAATGGCTGCTTGACTCCAATTACAGTAATGTCTCCCTTACTGACGCTCAGATTGCCCACTAAAATGGATAATTTGGGAAGAGGAGATATGATTATTCGAGCCTTGCGGCTCATTTTTATAATTATGGACAATTTATAATTTTAAAAGTAAACCGTAAGGCTCGAATAATCGTATCTCCTCTTCCCAAATTGTCCATTTTTGTGGTCAATCTGGGCGTCAATTAGAGAGATATTACTGTACTCTGTAATGTCAGCGACTTCATGATTGTAATCGTAGTTTCGACGGCTTCGTAATTCTCGTCTCGGTAACTGTTGTGCTTTCGGAAGCTTGTCTTCTGTGGTAAAGAAAAGGTTTTCCGAGGGCTCAAGTATGGTTAACGTTTTAAAGTTGAAATACTAGAAAGTTAAAATTACAACAGTGAATGGTATCAAACTACCAAGAGTTAAAATTCTTTTGCATTCTAAACATCCTAGTGAAATTCTGTTTTTGTTAGCATTGTTAACTTTATGTGATCGACGTGGCACGTAACGTGTTAAAAAATTTCTTTTGAAATGAGACATTTATCACGACGTCACGCTTTAATGCCTCTGCTAATCGATATCGTTCTAACAAGGTACAGCTACGTGTAAAAAAAGAATACGAATATTGAGTATTACTGATAATGACTACATGAAACACGAAAGATTCTGATCAAATTAAAAAGGTCAAATCACGAATAAGTCACGTGCAATTTACCTTTCGGTTATTATTATCGCATGGGTTATACTAATTCAACCAATTTAACATCGTCTGTTTCTTGTCCAGCTGATCGATATGTGTTATCTGAGATAATGGTGTCATTATTGGCTGCTATTAATATAATACTTATGCTACGCACTTATTAGCGAGCTTATTTAAAGTGAGCAGACGTATATTTATTTCACGATGCATAATAACTGGATAGTCAAATTAATATTAATTCCCGTTAATTTTAATAGTTGAAATTTTAAAAGCAAGATTACAGGGTAATTAATTTGGCATTTCGAATATCATTTTTGTCGTACTCTTGTTAAAAGTAGATTGCGGATTTGATGCATTTATAACAAAAATCAGTAAATCGACTGCAAAACAGCGAAAGTAAAGAATTTGAAAATAATGTTACAGTATTTCCAACTCAAAAATTATTCGGAAACATTTTTATGTAGCTTTTATGTCTTGCAATTAATACAGATTATTTATTTGCATAAATATCCGCAGTCTAGTTACTAGAGAATGTTACGCCTACAATTTTTGTTAAAATTTGAAGTGATTGTTAAGTAATTTGAATGCGTTTTTTTGTCTAGTGCCGGTATGGTCGGGAGTGAACGTGGCCGGTGTCAGGCTGCGCGATCTAAACGAAGACGTTGGAACTGACAACGATCCCGAGAAATGGAATAATTTGCACAAGCAGGTCGTCGATAGCGCTTACGAAGTTATCAAGCTCAAAGGATACACATCGTGGGCCATTGGATTGAGCGTTTCTCACCTGGCGTCGGCCATTTTGCGAAACTCGAACCAGGTCCATGCGGTGTCCACATTAGTTACCGTAAGTCGATAATGTTCGATTAAACAATTATATATATATAACTAATAAACAATATATTATATTATAACAATATATATTACAATATTAACAATATATATTATTATTATATTAACTATAAACAATTGAACAATTCTGAACTTCGCTGAAATTAATAAAACTTTTGTCTTTTTCGGGACTTTTTTCAAATATACCATAAGATTCTTTTATATAAATTTTGATACACATTTTTATTAACCTTGATGTTTGATGATTTTTAGGGGTATCACGGTATCGACGAAGAAGTATTCCTCTCCCTGCCATGCACCTTGGGTGAAGGAGGAATCACGTTGATCGTTCAACAAAAATTAACAGAAAAAGAGTTCAGTTACCTGCACAAGTCGGCATCAGCGATGCACAAAGTACAGGAGGACTTAAAATTCTAGGCAATTGATCTGCGTTTAATGTGTTAGCGTAATTTACATCCGGCTAGGTAAATCGAACGTGTTCTCATTTCATAAAAATCTTCGCATTTAGATTTTACGAAAATGTTCATTCATCGTGGCAGGACTTTTCATTTTCAATTATGTTTCGACACTTATATTTTATAATATTTCATACTTAATATGTCGAGTGTATTTTAAGGACTGAACAATACTGCACTAAACATTGTTGGCGTGTCTACGTGTGCGTGTGTGTAACCATAAAAGTATTTTACCGGTGTGTATTCTTGTCGAGATGATACGTCGACTCTCGGTGATGTAAGAAACAGTATTCTAATGTTATGATATTTAATACGATACTGATAAACCGACTGGCGAACGAGCATCCTTCGGGAATAATCAAATGTCGATCCAAGAATTGTTAATTCGCAATTTGTACATTTTGTAATACGACTCTACTTAATTATACACTGAGAAATACTGCAACACTGCAGCAATTAATGCCGATCATTTCCGGCTGCTCTTCGCACAGAAAGCACGACATCCCAATGTTTCCTGTTAGTGAATATATTCTATCTTTCTTATACATGTTTACTAGACTATTTTAATAAATTAATGTTACAAATGCTCCGCCTACTGTTTAATCACTGTAACGTCTATCGTGCTTCTCCGAATATTATAACACCGCAAAATTATTTCGAAATAATTCCAAAACTTTATCGCTCTAAATTAATATAGTTCAAAAATAATTTTTCTATTTTAGTATAGTAGATTGAAGTGATTTTAGTACTTCAAGCTTAAAAATCTTAAATAAAGATTCAAGTTATTTCCACGTTTCTGTAAAATACTTCGAATTGTTGAACAAAAATGGAAAATAAACTTTCGATATCCATTCGGTCGGGACCGACAACTGTAACCATGGATTGTTTGACAATTGGCGAACCGTGCGCGATGGCGGCACATTAATTGGGTTATGATCGGCATCGTGTTCCCATCTGTCAAGCCGTCACTGAATCTGCGTGCAATGTGATTTGTAAAATCGTCGTGTGACAAGAGCAATGATTTTATTCTCGCGGGTGTTCTCGACTACGTTCCTGCCAAAATGCGTTATCACTTGTACGGTCCATCAAATTTCAAGACGGAACTTTTGCAAGAAGCATCCCCGACGATCCTTACCACCCACGATACTGTCCGAGGTGTTTGGCGGCGTCAAGACAAAGAAAATCGTGTCCGCCGACTTCGGCAAGGACGCTAGCGCTGGATCCGATCTAGAGAGAGCGGTCAGTTTCGAGTAAGCGTCCCTTTCCCTTACTCAAGGTCGTTTGGTTATGATAAAAAATTATGCAGAATTCAGGAAAAGTTATGCAGGATTCAGGGCCAAATGCAAGAAATCCAAAATGATGCTTTTCATATTTTTACCGTTTTAAATCGCAGCTACTCGAGTTCGTGTTATTCATCCATAAAAAATCTGCAGTCTCGCAATTATCCGCTCTCAAGGGATCGCTTTGATGATAATAAAAGTAGAATCTAATAGAGTTGCTTGTTAATTTATAATGGTGAAAACCTTAACGAACCAGATGTTCAGTAAGACACTGTAAAATGACACCAGATTTCATGGGACATTTTCTATTAATGCTTAGTTTGCGGATTTCGCGCGCTTATGACCAAAATATAAATGCGTGCAATTTAAAACGGTATTGTTAAAACAAACTCAAAAGATTAACCCTTAGCGCTCTGCGCGTTACTCGAGCACTGCCTACTGAAAAGATTACACGTCCTTGTGAATGCATTTGATTTTATTTATTTTATAAATATAGATTTTCCTATTGTAAATAAAATAAATTTTAAATTTTGTAATTCACCATGGTGCGAAATCTTTGGTAACAATCTCCCATATGCATTCTGGGTTTACTTGGACAAGAGTCACAGTATTCGCTTTGCCCCAAATAGAGTTACTAAATATTTCTTTCAAGTTTAGAACATTTTCTGCGTAATTGTTGGTTTCCTTTATAATTTCAATTACCAATTCGTCCGTGAAAAATAATTTAAAATATCGTATCGGCTGTTCAATGTTTGTAGGAACTTGTGGTCCAATGACCTATCGCAATACGCTAAAAGGTATTCTATCTGGAATATGTAATTCTTCCGTAACATCGCGCCATTCATCTAAATCTTATAACGAATCTTCGCTTTCACTTTCAATAATTCTCATTCTTCGTCTCTTTGGTAGTATAATTTCGCTACTACTACTTGAAGTGTCCGAATCATAACCAACATCGTCTTCCACAATGTCTTTTAACTCTTCAAAATCAAATACGTCTTCGGTATCACTCGGCTCTAAATTCTCATCGTAATATTTATTTTTCTCCATGTTGCTAACCATAAAAAAGGTCAAAAAATGGTTTAATCGTAATGGTACAGACTTAGCACGTTTTAACTACAGATAACAATTGCTAACGCCGACGATAACGTATGCTAGAAACATTTGGCTCCGCAGCGGAGCCTTCG